GGGTATGAGTAATGAAGTTGAAAGAGGTCGGGAGGACTTGAGTTAATAAAGAGCGCTCTGTACTTAGATGACCTCACACTAGCACGGCCTCCCCGAACAAGAATTTTACGGTATTGACCAATCTAGCGTATTTGGCGTATTTGGCGTCATTATTATTTTTTAATTATACCCAAGTTCAACGCTAGTCCAAATTGGGATAGGATTCGTATTACCCACATACCACCATTTTTACCGAGTTCCACTGATCTGATCTGGGGATCTTCTTTCACTCGTTTCCCTTGTGAAGTTGTGGCTTACAGGATACGCAAAAGCCACATGGATCCACCATACCTAATATTCTATGTGATTGGGCATATTTGGGTCTCAATAGTAATTGTTTAAGATCTACATTAATAAATATTTTCTAAAAAGTTTTCTTGAGAATTCCGGGCAAAGGATTCAGCCAAGGTTTACAGTACATCGCTTAGGAAATAGAAGAAAAATTTTTCAAAAAAAATTCTGTTGCATAGTCTAGAACTAGCTCCGATTTGCACTCGGGTGACCAGGGCCAAAATTAGGAAAATGGGGGTGGAGATGCCGAGGAGAAATCCTTAAGGCTGAGCCACACCTTAGTTTGTTTTTGTGCCCATTTCGCATACTAAAATTTTGGTCCGTTGGGAATTGGTAATTCGGCCTGGTCTACTATCTCCGGTGAGTCAGAATTCACTAGAATCCCACAAACGTGGAATTGAAACCCGGAGAGTTGTTCGGCCGAGATATGTTTTATTATTGATTATTTATTATTTATCATCCATACTTCCTTTATGTACCCTAGCCACATCGAGATTGAGCCATGTGGCTGGTGCCCAATGGTTCGGCCGTCCCAACGTTCCTGCACAACATGGGGAAGGCCTACAGAGTACATTCTTCTCGTTCCTTGGTACTCAGACCCAATTATTCCAAGACTCAAATACTCAAGATTGTGGCTGTGAAGTAATTGTCTTTCAACTGTCTTCCGACGGTCTTGGTGCTGTTGTCTTGGGATTGTCTTGTAATGTCTCCACACTACGCGCCAATCCGCGGGTTCCGCTCGGCCGTAGTTCGACAGACGCGATAGTCAGCTGACCATGCATCTAATGGCATGATAAGCTGAAGTCGGACACGGGTCCATGGATCTTGTTTGTGTATAGGGACATGATGGCCAGCTGACCCCAGATCTTGGGTCACCACAAGGTTTGTTTTTTTTATTTTTTATTTTATTTTATTTTATTATATTATATTATATTGTCTTAAGCGAAAGGCTGTCGTATATACTTTCCATGTCTTACCACTTGTTCTCAGATGTAAGCGCTTGTCTCTACAGGACTTAGCTCTAGCATAGGCTCGGCGGGAAATGCCCAATTTGGTTTATCATTGTTAGGCTACACAAGGATCTTATGCGCAAGGTTCTAAGATCATGGTCACATGGTCTCTTTATTGTGGGCTGATTGCCTTAATTTTCTGGTCTGCATGTTCGATGACTCGATGACTTGATCACATGTGAATCATATGTTTTCCCCTTTGACTCGGAAAGAATTAAATTGAAATAATAAATTGAAGTATTGATGTTAATTTTGGTATTTTCATATTTTTCTAGCGCTCGGATCCCTACATGTACAGATTAGCTAAATTGTTAACTAGCGCGGGCTTTGTGGCACGCGGAACACCAGAAGTAGCGTGGTAAGAATGCCATGTACGGAGTACTGGGGGTTACAGTCGAAATTTTCTGTTTTAGCGCTGTCACCATTCAACCGTGCATATGCATTATGGCTTAGACGCTAAATGCCAGGGTATCAGATCGCAGATCAAGGGCCTCCGAACCGAGCAGCATCGGCAAACCCCGACTTTCCAGCTTAGATCTTGTTTGGGCGCAAAAATCAAAGGCAGCAACAATAGTCTAACAAGTGCCATGTGACCCCCAAGGATCTCCCTTTTGAAATCCACTAGCGCAACATAAATCCGACCGGCATGTTTTCGGGGGTTAAATAATTTTCTCGGTCTAGGAACGCCAAATCGGGTCCGGGGTCTGCCGTGCTTACCGAACAGTCTGGCCCAAATCCGAGTGATCTCCCTTTTTTCCGAGAACAGACCCGGGAATATCTTGGCAGATTCCTCAAGGGCACACCAAAACGTGGCCCCTACAGAGTCCGGGGAAGTGGCAAACCAGCCTCAGCTGATCCAAGTATCCAGATCCAATGGCCCACTCAGATATCTCATATATAGTGGGATACGTAGATCTGAGGGGTGGATTCGTCTACCGAAGGCACCCTTTTTTACAACGTACATAAATCACCTTCTCAATTGGGCAGAGATTAATCCTGTTACTCATTGCCAATAGAGGGCTCCTGCATAAGGATTCAGAAAAAACACGGAGAAAAAATTTTCACCGGCATCTAATCCCGACCAAAAGAAAAACCCTATGTCAGCACTTTAAATTCGGGTTTCTCGGTGGTAGGTCTGCGAGAGGCAGGATCATATTTAGTAACAGTCTAATGCACAGTGAAAACTTTTTTTCAATGTAAATGATTGGTCGTGACAGCTAGGGCTGCACAGCCACTTCTCGGCACTGCCGTTACACCGTTCAAGTTGCCCGTTCAAGTTGCCGGTTTAACCTGTTACCATACGGCACTTGGAGCAGCCACGATCTGCAGGTAATCGTATTCGGTATTTCTGGTATGTTCCAGAAGGAATTTTCGTGGCTTGTGCATGCAGCTAGTGCTACATTCAGTAAAGCGTGGGTGTTTTCATTCTTCTGGAAGCTTTCTATTTTCGTTCCGGAATGCCGGCCTCCGGCCGTCACCGACGCCGTCGGAGGACCATGCTCTTACTTTCAAATTCGTATTCGGACATGTATTTTTTTTTTTTGGCTTTGAACATCTTTTTTGTTTTTCTTTTCATTATTGATTATCCCGGTGTTCGTCATTTAGTCCCCGAGGATTACCAACACTGACTGATTGTTCTGACTCACACCTTGGCAATTTCGCAAGGCTATCACGTCTCTGTTTAGGTCCTCGAGGCTAGCCGCGTATGCACATACTATGCGCTTCGTCATCTTGAGTCAAGAAAATACAGAAAGGAGGCTCCGAGGAGCCTTTGTTGGGGAAAGAGTGGCTTAGCAGCTCACTACAGCAAGGGCAGATTCCTTACTTGGTTGCCTATGTACACGTGTATTCTAAAATTTTAGAAGCTAGCCACGATCGATCTCTGCATTCCGGAATGCCACATGTCTCTGATAGTGTAATAATAGTAATTATGTTTCGTTCGTATCTGATATAGAGTTGGAACCAGAAGCCTATCAATGACCAAGCACACCATGAGCCAGCCTCCGGGTGAATTGCTTGTGATATCCCTTTTGACAGACCATTGAAACATCCTAGCTAATTGGCCCTTCGGGTATATATAATCAACTTCTATGTATTTGACTGTAGAGACCACCAGGCTGGTACCTACAAGTAGACATGGAGTCGTTCATGTACCATATTTGTTCGCCACACAAGGATATGTAGTTACACGGACATTCTCTGGGCCATAACCAATAGAAAATATGCAACCATATTAAGCTGGACACCACGGATAGCAATGAGCCTATAGGTTTGGGTCGTAGGATGTCTGCTTGAAACCGAGGCGGCAAGCTGCAAGGCATGGGTATTTCCTGAACAGGGAAGAGAAGGTAAATCCTAGATATTGTGGCGTCCAGTCGCAAACGAGTCTTATCCCTACAGGTGATGGCTTCGAGTACGGAGTTCCTATAGACGGGTTTCCCGGGGTATTATACCGGTTTACCACAGAAGCAGCTTTCAATGGCAACAGAGATGGCCAATAAACTGCCTCATTATTTGATAGTGATGTTATGGCCCTTCAAGTAGAACCTATCATATCCAAGGCAATTACATTTCTTTATAATAGACCCTGTAAATCAAAACCATTTGTGTCGATATATACCCAGTCATTTAATTAAGAGCTTGAGCCGACCCCGAGAGTGGTCTCATGTGTTGGGGTTACTATATGTTGCAATTAATTTGGATTTCTCTTAATGTAGGCAAAGAAAGGTTCGCATTTCAACATCCCAGCATGTTAGCTCAGGGGAAGAGCGCCGGGCTCATAACCCGGAGGTACGTTTCACCGCAACCAATTTAACCCACAAACATCCAACTAACAATCTCAATAGGACCCTGGATCGAAACCAGGACATGCTATGTCTATTTTTTTTTTTTTTTTATCATATACATATTTATGATCCGCTTCTTACCATACTATTTTTGTAAATTTTTCATGAGAGCCCTGGACAAATCAAGAAGTTCCTGATTCTACAGCACACCCGCTGTCATGATTCAATATTTGGTGGTTTTTGCATATGGAGTATTTCAGCGATAGCGGGTGCTTAGTCTTGTTCCTTGGTGGGGTAGGTTCTGCGTCTCCAAGCGAAGAGGATACCTGGTGCAATTAGGCTGCGCCAGGTATATCACCGCTATTCATGTGGCGATTATTTGGTGATGTGGTAAAATACTCTTCATGACCTGTCAACATTTGATTCTGGTTAACAATGTGGCGTGCATGTCTGTATCGTGGACTTCATAATTTGACCCATCTGAATGGAGGAATTTCAAGCACGGAGATGTGGCCGTAGACCTCATTAGCACTTCTGCTGCCGTGCAAATAGAACTTGTGTCTGGAATCGCCTAACGCTGTTTTTGTGTGCCTTCGGTCAGCGCTGGACGAGTCAATATGCAGGCTGGTTTCCAGTGGCATTATGTCGAATCATTTGTAAACATTGCAGCAGATTCTGCTCCTGTGCAGTTGAGAGCATGATTCTACCGTGATCATTTTCGGTATTCCAGCAGGCCCATCGGGATTATTGGCTGACCACATGTCCTGTTGAATACCGAAGACCATATCTATGGATATGTTCCCGAACAAGACTCCGGCACGTTGATCCAGTGTTCATCGACTGTTCGCGGTGTCGCTTTTGGCCAGGTTTCTCGCTATACCGCGTATTTCGTCTTCCGGTTCGCAGCGATCAGGACTCGTTTGTATGGGACATCGGGGGCTTTCTGTGAAGACTCAGCAGTAGTGGGTCGGGGAGACCGGTGGATGTCCCGCCAGGTGATGGTTGACGGCGTGAGACCAGGTCTCGTCGACTTCACCTGGCGATCGGAGGTCAGCGTGGTCCTATCAGTTTGACAGTCAGCATAGAGTCTGTCTGGATTCGAATGTGTCTTTCTTTGCGCTATGTGGGGCAAATTATACATTTGTGCACGGCATACTCTTCGCCTTCACACAATGAAGTCGCTATGTTTGGGGTCAGGGCGTAGGCTGCGGTATTGTTGGTGGTTTTTTCGCCCATGTAGTACATAATCCAGTACCTTGCGACAAATCGGAGAAGCTCCCTGATCGGTGGAGCTTTTATTACTACTGGTTGCTTTTTTGCCATCGTGATGGGGTTATAGCGGATCTTGATGGTGTTGATACTTGGCTCTCTTTGGGCTTGTGGACTCGAGTGGCGAAGGTGATTGTAGTGATGAGAGTGAGAGTGAGAGTGATGGAAGCGTGGAGGAAAATATAATGACAAACACATTCAAGTCTGGAGTGTTTGCCTGTATTTTGGCCTCGTACATTATGCGGTTTGTTTGTCACATGGTAGTCCCCTTTGGCCTGTCCAAGGGACCCGTCTGAAAATCAGCCATCATCCTTCCTCGCTTGTCGGTTCTCTGATATATTAGACACTGTGCTATTTTGATATTAATTATTTGGGGGTAATAACGAGAGAGCGCTCCGGGTTATGTCTAGTGTGCCTATGGGAGCGCCCCCAGTCGTAGTGCCAAGAGATGTTGGACTTCCCTTTTCGGGGGTTCAACTACATCTTCGTATGACAAATGGACTTCCACCAGGATTCAAAAAGAGAGCAGTATGATTCAATCTTGAACATAATTTTTCAATCTAGCCCTGGTATCTTTTGGTGGAATATATACATTTACGGTTTAGTTGTGGGTAGATCGGAATTGTTCATGGCACCAAGTAAAGTTGAACTGCCGTTTTGGGAAGTTCAACTTCAACTTGTATTGTTTTGCTCACCACGCCACGGTGGTGGTCTCTGACGTTTTGATGTGGGCAGTTGAGCGAAATTTAAATGTCTTGAGCATCTTTCTGGGTAAATTGTGTGGGTTATATGCATTTTAACATGTCGATTGATATTCCAGCCAATTATGGATACTAATATATATATCTTGACACTACAAGTATATCTATACGTAACGTTTAAACAACCCCCACCTTAAAACCACCCCGAGCCACCACACCGTGTGAACTGACAAGAAGGACAATCAATTGTACAAACTAAAAGCAAACTACAGTAAGATGAAACTGATCTAGATACGTGTATAATGGACACCATGAAACCATCCATGGATGTACTAAGGAAGCCAACAACGCGACATTGGTCGAATAGAAGTCCACGGATAGTTTAAGAAATAGGCATTACGAGTCAGCGACACTCTTTACAAAATCAATGACGGGTTCATGATGAGCATGGGAAACAAGGCCTCAGACAGTCAAAATAACGCGTCAAGCAACCGTAAACAGCGAAGACCACGCCACCGAACTAAATACCGAGAATAGAGCGCCAAGTTCAACAAAACAAGCCAACAAAACGAAGAGACCAAATATGAGACACCTACACGTCGAGTTATACTACCAGCAAGACCAAAGAAGTCAAAAATTATTTCAAGTTTTGATTGTATTCGTATCGGATCGCACTTAAGTGCTTGATCCCACCATGTCCATGGTGCCAGCCGTAATGTGGAGGCCGCTATGATACAGAAAAGCTCAGAAGCGCACACTATGGACGCGCAATAGTGGTAATCGAGTGTTATGAAAAGCAAACCCAGAGACCCATGACAGTTGTAGTAAAATAAATCAGAGAACACCCCAACGTCCCGTCGTACCGTGAACCAGCCCGGAAAAGAAAAGAACAAATGATTTAGCCACCGAAACCGTAGAGGGTACCTGAATAAGAAAGTTAGAGACGCGCTGTGTAATGGGGAGACACGTGGAAACTTACGGCCCTGGCGCTTGAGAGCGTAGACAACGTCAAGAGAAGTGACAGTCTTGCGCTTGGCGTGCTCAGTGTAGGTGACAGCGTCACGGATGACACCCTCGAGGAAGGTCTTGAGGACACCACGGGTCTCCTCGTAGATCATAGCGGAGATACGCTTGACACCACCACGGCGTGCGAGACGACGGATAGCAGGCTTGGTAATTCCCTGAATGTTGTCACGCAAAATCTTGCGGTGACGCTTGGCACCACCTTTGCCGAGACCCTTTCCACCCTTGCCGCCTGAAATGAGACGCGTTAGAACGCGTTTCTTGAAGAAATAGAAATGTGGGGTAATGACTTACGGCCAGACATATTGAATATGGATTAGAAAAAAGGGGTAGAAGTGTTATGAAAAGGAGTTGGTAGTTGAGTGGTTGTCGATGAATTGATTGAAAAAGAGGGAAAGGAAACGGAAGTGGACAGAGGATATTTGTATGATACGGGAATGAGCGAAGACTGGGAAATCACGCGCTAGGGATCGCGTCCACCAATGAGAGCGCAGGATCACAGACCAACCTTGATCTACCGGGTGACCCCAGAGTTGGAACGCCGACTCTGCCGTGGTCCATCTTTGATCCTCCTATAATCCGCCACCAACAATGTAAATCTACAATAAAAAAAGAACAATTATACATTCCAAAGGGTGTTGAATACTTCAGAATGCATTAATTATTGACCTAAGGGAGGTTGGTTGCAAGATCAAGAATTCAAGGGTTTGGCATTCTATACTCCCTGATCCTGCATTCTCATTGGCCCAAGTCTCGCTTAGTTGGCAGTACCAGCACTTTGATCCAGCTGAGCCAATCAGAGCTCACTGCAACTCAGTCTCTGGGCTACACGCTACGCAGTCCCCAGTCCTACGCGCTGATTCTGCTGATTGATCCTCTGATCGGCTCACTTCCCCTGATTCGTGGCTCCCTCTCAGATCAATCCCCCCCTCCCGTCTCCTACAAATACTCTCCCCCCACCCTCCTCTCTCTTCCCTTTTGCATCCATCCAACGCCAACCAACTCTTTCATCAACAAAACTACTTTTCATCAAGTCTATCATCAAAGATGGCTCGTACCAAGCAGACTGCCCGTAAGTATTTCCTATATCATATTTCCTTCACCCTTTCCCCACCTCGCTGGTGATGCCTGATTTGTCAGGCATCATACCGAAGGGAGGATTTGGTGACGCGTTCGTCAAGAAAACATTTGCTAACTGCCTCGAATAGGTAAGTCCACTGGTGGCAAGGCTCCCCGTAAGCAGCTCGCCTCCAAGGCCGCCCGCAAGGCCGCTCCTTCTACCGGAGGTGTCAAGAAGCCCCACCGCTACAAGCCCGGTAAGTCTCATCTCATGTCGAACAAGACATCCACCAAGTCCACTTTGGAATACTTTCTAACGTTCCATCCCCAGGTACCGTCGCTCTCCGTGAGATCCGTCGCTACCAGAAGTCCACTGAGCTCCTGATCCGCAAGCTCCCCTTCCAGCGTCTGGTCCGTGAGATCGCCCAGGACTTCAAGTCCGATCTCCGCTTCCAGTCCTCTGCCATCGGTGCTCTCCAAGAGTCCGTTGAGGCTTACCTCGTCTCTCTCTTCGAGGACACCAACCTGTGCGCCATCCACGCCAAGCGTGTCACCATCCAGTCCAAGGACATCCAGTTGGCCCGCCGTCTCCGTGGCGAGCGCTCGTAATTTTTCTTTTCAACGAGCTGGTTTTCTGAAAGGCGATCATGGGGTTTGTTTTTATCTTTTTATCATGACTACTGGCGATACATGATGGGTTTGCTTTCAAATATCAAATGGGTTTCGGCACCGGGTTGCTTCGCAATTTTGCTTTTTTATCGATGCTACTGCTCTTCATCGATTGATGGATCAGTCATGGGCATGTACATTATGGGGGCTCCCTTTAACATGATGCCTTAGCGCGCATCATCTCATGACAGGACGCTTTAATGCTGTCTTCTATGATCCATATTCTTTTCTTCCTCCTTGTAACAAGTAAGCATTAACTAGTATGTCTTTTGCGACCGACGCGTTCTTTATTGTGTTGCTATTATATGGCGAGGTATTTCCCTCTGCCTTTGTGTTGTGTTCTCGGGTTGGGAGAAACTCGGTCGCAAGATTGCCCTTCACCTCATCCAAACTGGTGGCGTCTCTAGGGCTAGTACTAACAACACTATCCAAAATCAGATGGGAAACTCTGTGACAATAGAATACCCCATATCTGAGCATGATTCTTTTCAAGTCAACGTGAAACCAAGCGATTTGATTCCACCCCGAATATTCTCGGAAGGTTTCCTCTAATCGCGCAACAAAGACGCAACGTCGTAAGTACGGGAATTTTACATTTAGAACAGTAACAAACAGACAATGCCTTGAGATTGGAATATTTATTGGCCGTTCAGATAAACAGCCAAGAGAACGTGAGCCACCTCCTTGTACTTGGAATTCATACTTGACTACCATCCAGAGTCTTTAAGACTTGGCGATGACTTCACCGTGACTTAGCCCTGATCCAACAGTTAACTGCGACTTGGAAGCATCCATCCGATTCTACGATACAACAACACAATAACATAGCAATCAAACAATCAAGCAATCAAACATTGAACAATTAAAGAATTAAACAGCACGAAACATGAACTCGGGTTTCCGACTACTTCACACCCGTCATTCCTAAGCCCTGACGAGACCCAGCATCTAATCCGACCGCCACACAAGCACTCACATTCAACGGAAAATCGCGATTTGAACAGGGTTGAGTCATAATGACCTCAGCATATAATATGGGCTCTACAAAGTAGGGCGGTATGTATAGTATGTACGTACTATGTAGTCCGCAGGTAGTTCTATACCGTACCCAGATCCACGGGTAGAACATCAGAATGACTCATTACTCTCCAGAAACATTCCCGAATAAACCGGAATTATCTATGGAGGAAATATCAAATGATCAAAGTCAAACTTAGAAGAAGAGAGTAGATAAGATGAATATATTTACGATCCTGGTATCAAACCCAGTATAACAAGAGGCAACTGGAGCGCATTCCTAAGACTGCAATGCTGATCTTACAGTCTGATAATGTGTATATGGATTGCTGGACAGGTGATTTATATGTGCTACCTATGTTAAAAATATCGATCCTCTGCTCGCAGGGCTGAGCCAGACGCTGGATGGCCTTTTAGGTGTCTATCCCACCTTTCATGCTGATTTTAAGTGGAGACAGAGTGACATAAACGCGTGGTTTGTTTCTTTGATCTTATTGTCAACAAAATTGGGAAAACAATGAAACTCGGAAAACAAGTAGCCAACGCCGAGGGTATTTGACTGATATAACTTGACACGTATAGCCATCTTGGGTACCAAGATCAAGGCTATACTACCTGGTGGCAATTGTACCTATATGTATCTACTCTCAGTGGGTCCCTATCCGACCACTGGCTTGAGGCTGAAAAAAAGAAGGCGCCAAGACTCGATGGAAAATTCTAGCGGTAGTCTAGCGGTAGAATTGGTGGCTTCGCTTTCCCTGGTTTTCCTTGCTCTCATTTTTTTTCTGCAAGCCACTCGTGTGTAGATTTTTTTTTTTTTCGCGTCGTACCGCCGAACCTTGACCGGACCTCGGAACTCTAGCCGTTTATAGCCTAACCCATTTCTATTTTTTATTTAAAAAAAGGTACATTCAAGGATCCATATTAATAACCGACCCCAAACTGAAAGTAGAACCAGGTCTGGAGATAAGATATCCATTGCTTTTTTTTTATTCGAGTCTGTGCATGTCTGATATGACGGATGGTATCAGCCCATGGGTGTCTTTGATGTAGGGTGGCCTGACTATATGAACTCGATCAGTACAACGTGGATCTCAACAGATCTATATATATCCATTTCAAAGCAGCATTGGTGGTCTGACTTCAATGTTAGCATTTGATTGTATCCATGGATATCTGGAGCAAACCACGGCGCTGATGCCTAGCTTGGAGTTGATTCCAAAGAGATTACCGAAACAAATAATAAGCAGATTACAACGCCAACATCGGAACTCGTATGCCGATTGCCGACTTGGGCACTCAACGGGGGATGAACTAGAGACGACTGGCAATTTTATACATGTTGTACATAGTCTGCATAGGACCCTGACCATGATGATTGATAATCATAATGCTATTCCCGATGTCATATACGAAGTACCTAGTAGTTACGTGGAGTTTAGTCGGTTATAAGGATTATAAACACCATTTTATGTATGTGCACCGGAGATTATTCTGACCGGTCTAGAGAACTTTAGATCTCTTGTCTGCGTTAGGTGAAGCTTCGGCAAGGTACCAAGTCCGATTCGCGGAATGTCCGAATGTGGGTGGGTCTGAAGTATATGCACGGCCCCTTGGTGCACATTTACTTTATGAGATTGATTTGTACATTGTGTATCCATGGAGGTCATGTATAATATTAGTAAGGAAGTCAGCCTCCCATAGAATACGCTAGAATTGAAGAGGTAGGACATTGGGAAGTTTCAATTGTCTTGGGTAGCCGAGTGAACCAATCAGATCGATGCCGCATACCCGAGTGGCTCGACATAAATCATTCATAAATCACGTGGCGCAAAAACGTGGCTGCAACCAGATAAGCCCTAACACTCCGGGTTGACTCAGGGCTGCATCTGCATCTTCATCTTTGTACGACGTATGAACTTTAGTTCACCTTGGAAGTACACTAATATAGGTATGAAGTCAGTATGAAATTATCACATAGATGCTCCAAGAACAACATAATTAAGGAAAGGGTCCAGATCCTAACATCCGCCAAAAAAAGAAAATCTTGGTTAGGTCCGGGACCCACCTATCCCACCTGGGCCACGGAATCCACTTATCCGTACTTAATCTGCATATATCGCATTCATAACCCTTTATATATAGAGGGAGCTCCATCCCGAGGTCTCCAAGTCTCATTACACTAATTTTCCTCGACATTTCCCCTCCCCGCAAACCCTCGGGAAAACTCCACCTCATTTCCGTCCTAATTGGCATATACTTTTACCTCGGATACCATCAACTACATATCGCAATCTCAATTCACCACCTGCCCACCATGGCAGCTGATTCGGACGCTCAGGTCTCGGACAAGATCGAGCCCTCTGCCCCAACGAAAATTCCATACTGGCGTTTGGTCTTCGATCAAGGCGTCGTCACACAAGAGATCATTGATCACCCATACCCTGGCTCAGGAACAGATGAGGACCCATTTGAAGTAACATGGATTCCTAACGACCCTCGTAATCCCATGAACTTCAGCGAGGTGAAGAAATGGACTTTTACCATGCTGGTGGCCGTCGCAACATTGGCTGTTTCCCTGGTATCATCTGCCTATACCGGCGGTATCAAAGAGATCATGCTGCAGTTTCACATCGGGCAAGAACTTGCCACTCTTGGTGTTTCGCTTTTCGTTCTCGGTTTCGCGGTAAGACCTCGACCCTCTAGACACTGCTACTTGAGCTTGTGTAATCTGTTTTGCCTGCATACTAACGTTATTTGCTTTGGTATAGATTGGACCATTGCTCTGGGCTCCCCTGAGTGAGCTGTTTGGCCGCCAAATCCTCTTCATTACTACCTACGCCGCTCTCACGGCTTTCAACGCCGGTGTCGCAGGTTCTCAAAATGCCTGGTCCATCATCATTCTTCGGTTCTTCGCCGGTTCCTTTGGATCCTCTCCTTTGACTAACGCTGGTGGTGTCATTGCGGACATGTTTCCCGCTAAGCAGCGAGGTATCGCTATGAGTTTGTTCGCCGCCGCACCTTTCCTCGGTCCTATTATCGGCCCCATCGCTGGTGGATTCATTGGTATGAGTGACGGCGGCTGGCAATGGGTCATGGGTTTCCTTGCCCTCTTTTCTGGTACGGTTTGGATTATCGGCTCTCTGACGATCCCCGAGACCTATGCCCCCGTGCTTCTCCGCCGCCGTGCGGAGAGACTCTCAAAGCTGTCGGGAAATATTTACCGGAGTAAGCTGGAAATCGACCAAGGCAAGGTATCTCTTAAAGACTCCTTCAAAGTGTCACTGTCCCGTCCTTGGGTTCTTTTGTTCCAGGAGCCTATTGTGTTCTTGCTATCTCTCTACATGGCTATTGTCTACGGTACCTTGTATATGATGTTTGCCGCCTTCCCTATCGTCTACCAGCAGACCCGCGGCTGGAACCAGGGTGTTGGTGGCCTCGCCTTCCTCGGTATCATGATCGGCATGTTGGCTGCTGTCATCTACTCCCTCTGGGACAACAAGCGCTACATCGGGACGTCCGATAAACATAATGGATTCGCACCCCCGGAGGCACGTCTTCCCCCTTGCCTCATCGCATCAGTCGCAATCCCAATCGGCCTATTCTGGTTCGCATGGACCAACTACCCCTCAATCCACTTTATGGTCAGCATCGCAGCCGGCGTCCCCTTCGGCTTCGGAATGGTCCTCGTCTTCCTCAGCATCATGAACTACCTTATTGACTCCTACACCATCTTCGCTGCTTCCGTGCTTGCTGCCAACTCCGTCATCCGTTCCCTCTTCGGTGCCGCTTTCCCTCTCTTCACCACCTACATGTATAAGAACCTGGGTATCCACTGGGCATCATCGATCCCGGCCTTCCTGGCACTCGCCTGCGTGCCCTTCCCATTCTTATTCTACAAGTACGGACCCGCGGTCCGGGCCCGTTGCAAGTTCGCCGCCCAGTCCGATGCATTCATGCGCAAGATCCAGGCACAGGTTTCTGCCCCGCCGGCGGCAGAGGAGAAAGTGGAGTACGATCGCACAGAGGCTCCTGCCCCCGAGGGTTCACTCTCTAGCGAGTCTCATGACGGTGTTGATGCACTCCCCACGGAGCGCATTCGCAGCCGTGCGCAATCTGTCGCTTCCAATCGCACAGGTGCCTCCTTGGCACGCTCAGTTACCTATGAGGGAAACCCGTATGATATCGACCGTGTTCACACTCGTGACTCCTTCAAGCAGTAAGCGGTTGCTGAGCAGCTTGTTTATATCCCCTCTCATCCTACCATCTCTTGTCCGGACTTGCCATACCTATACATGTTTGTGTCACTAATCATAGTTTTTATTGTCCCCTTTTCTTTCATGTTACCAAAAAGTACACTGTTTGCATGATATGTCTTTGTTTTTACTTTGATACCCGTTTATATCATACTGTGAGGGAAACCTCATTCAACTAATTTTTTTATGCGATGCATTACATAGAGCTGGAGTTGGGGTTTTCTTTTGCAAATATCAGTTTATTTCGGACACTCTTTCTTCTAAAAAATAAGTTTCTTCATTAATTAGAGTAAAATCGCTACAAACAATGAATCCCTAATCGGAACCTGCATCCGGGACTGTTCTCAAAGGGCGGAGTTTCACCCGCTTTTCGGGTCTTATCGCCACAATCCCCGAGGGCGGATTTTCGGATTTCAAAGCTTGTTGTTTTCTAATTCTGACAATCTTCCCACTTGCACTTTCAAATATTCTTTTGTAATTAACCAGATGTCATCTTGGACATGAACCTCCTCCGAAATGGCCTATCCAGGGCCCCAACCTCCCCTTCAACCTCCACCTTCCGCCGACCGATAACCCCCAGATCCCAACCCCAGGTATTGCGCCGACCACGCCCACAACGTCGATACAACTCAGACTCCTCTACAGGGAAGACACTCGTCGAGAGAAATACCACATCTGCAAACCTATCGCACTCGCACCATTCAGCCGCCTCAACTTCACCTAAGCTCCCAGGCACAACCTCCGCCGCTACAGCCGCAGCTGCAGCCGGGGCAACGACTGCACCTGTTCGAAGTCGCGGATTCCGCGAGGTGATAAAAGCCGGCCCGGTCGGGAAGTTCGGAAGATGGTATGCGCGCGTGCAAGAGCGCAAGCCGTATACGACACAGTTCTGGAGCTCGATCGTTATCTACCTGTGTGGTGATCTGAGCGCGCAGATGCTGTTTCCTTCTGAGGTTCCTGCACCTGCGAAATCGGACGCCAAAGATGGAGATGCGGTTGCGCAGGGAGATGGAGCGACTATGAGCGCTGGGTATGATCCGCTTAGGACTCTGCGGCATTTGTGTGTTGGCGCTGGGTCGAGTATTCCTTCTTACAAATGGTATGTTCTGTGATTTGGGACTTCGTTATGTGATATGCGATCAATGGTTTCTATGAAATTGTTACTATGTGGGGGATATGTGTATGTGTATGTACTTGTTAACTGACGCCGCTCTCTATTAGGTTCATGTTCCTCGGAAACTATTTCAACTACCCGAGCAGGTTCCTCTCGATCCTGACAAAAGTTGTTGTGCAGCAGATGTGCTTCACACCTGTCTTCAACACGTACTTCTTTAGCGTGCACTCTCTTCTCGCTGGTGCGACGCTCGACGAGACCTGGGAGCGATTGAAGAAGGCTCTCCCCGTTAGTATCCAGAACAGCGTTAAGCTCTGGCCGGCTGTTACCGCGTTCAGCTTTATGTACGTGCCGGCGCAGTTCCGGAATGTCTTTTCTGGGTGCATTGCTGTTGGCTGGCAGACCTATCTGAGCTGGTTGAACCAGAAGGCTGCGAAGGAGGTTGCGGCTGCTGAGGCGCTTGCTGCGGCAGAGGGGATGGGCGCTGGTGCATTGCATGCTGTTTCCGGGGGGAATATGATTTCTGCTGGGACTGCATGAATGCACGAGAATAGAATTCGAATTTGTTGAGGTTGATGGGATGTATAGATTCATAGATCCCTGCCGAATATTGGCATTGGGAATTTTTTTTTTTTTCTTTTTTGAAGCGATGCATGGGATACCAAGAGCAATTACTTAGATCAATACACTTCAGTCTCTTTTGTCTCTTTTGTCTCTTTTGTTAATTTTCTTTCAATATAATATATCCTATATAGTTATTTAGTACATGTTTGTACAATTATCAAGTAGATGGCCAGCCAGTAAGAACAACGGGATTCTCAAGGCAACTCACATGGCAATGACGCACCCGAACATCGACTTGATCTACACGACATGATCCGCTCCGGTCGCAGGCATGTCCTGCCCAGAGAGAAATGAGGATGAATCTGACTATGGATCCGACTTCACTCCAGATGAAGAGGATCTGCTAAATCATTTGTTGAACAAAGCCGTCGCGGAACACGCGACCGACGCCAACGCCACTTTCATCTCGACACCAACCTGGATCTCGACCCCAGCGCCGAACGAACACATCACCGCACCAAACTCCTCGGAACTCGTTGATCTCGAGTCTTTGCAACCCGAGGCTCTAGCAGCATTTGTTGCAGATATTGAGGATGGCATTGGGCCAGCCAGCGTTCGGTCGCCTAAGGTGCTGGGCCGGGAAGGGCCTCGCTCGCCATGGCGGCAGTCGCAGCCTCGACCAGGTCAGGCGGTTAGATGGGGTGCGAGTGCGAATGCAATGGAGAGGTCAAGTCCGCGCGCTGGTAACAGCAACAGGCACAGCCCGTTTGGTATGCTTTTTCGTCTTTGTCTTTCGTCGTCCCTTTCCTCGTTGATCTTCCACCATTTCCCAATGGGACCATCTAACCCGAATTGAGCTGACAACGTCTTCTCCCAAGCGCTTAGTCGAGAACTCTAATTCAACCGAGGGCCGAGTAAAAGAACGCGAGCGTAACGCAGCGCGCGCTCTCGAATGGACACAACAGGACCCCGAAGCCGCGGCGCTCGATACTCGATCCCCCGTCGAACGGTTTCGGCAAGCACCCAACAAAGCATTCTCAGTGACTGATCTCGTTTCTCCAGCGTGGTGCGAGCTGCAGTATTGGTTCACGTTGACCAAACATGGGGGGCAGAAGAAGAGAACTGCTGCGATGAAGAAGGGGAGTTCCATGCACAAGACTCTCGAGGATGAGATCTACACTACTGTCCCTGTGGAAATCACGACTAAAGAGGACGCGTGGGGTCTCAGGATATGGAATGTTATCCAGGGACTGCGTATGCTGCGCGATTATGGCGTTACGCGTGAGATGGAGGTTTGGGGCGTTGTCGATGGGGAATTTGTCAATGGCATCATTGATCAGTTGTCCTATGAGTGTCCCGACGCGGAGCTTGAGGCTACTGCTGCTGGGTACTATGCGGATGTTGTAGCGTCACGCACTGCGCTGCCGGAGTATCAGATGTCCTTGTCGGATTTTTTGCTTTCTTCTTCGCAAGGCGGGATGAAGCTTTCGGACTTTGGTCAGAGTGAAGCTGAGAAAACGAGGCACGTTGAGCAGGAACTGCCTGCGACGGTCTATGACCTACCCCGGATTTATTTGACGGACGTGAAGACTAAGGGTAACCGATCCCTACCGAATGTTAAAAGCACGGGGTTCCGGCCTACTCTTCTCCAGCTGCAACTCTACTACCATATGCTCAGCCGGCTGATCACGAGCGACGATGTCACTATTGACCTCCTCGCTGCTCGCTACGACTTTGACGCCGAGAAACCGTTCACGGACGCCTTCGTCTCGGAGGTTGGCGGCCTCAATGACCAGTACTTCGACGCTCTCTCCTCCCAAGAATCTGAACATAATGAGGGCCCTTCTATTGATAGCCAGGACTCAACAGGCGTCCTCCTAACACACAACAACCTCTCCCGTCTTTGGAGCCTCATGATACAACAACTTCGCCTCACATTCCTCCCTGAAAATTCCCCCGACACACCATCCGTCGCACCATCCATCCCATCAGTTTCCCAACCAGAGCTCTTGGAACCTTATTCAACCCTTCTCTCCCCGGTTCTCACAGCTCGGTACCTCTCATCTGCCGCCAACGAAGACCTAGAGAGACAGCTCATCGGAAGCCGCTCTTTCCTTTTCGATCCGACAACCCTCACCTCCCACCTGAACGATCAGATGACTTGGTGGCGCGGCAAGCGAGATCCCCGCGGCGTGGATATTATGGACGCGTGGAAATGTCGGATCTGCGAGTTCCGTGATGAATGTTCTTGGCGTGAGGAACGTGAGATGGCTTATGCGAGACGAGGTGGGGGTCGGAGGACTGGGCCCATTGCGGATATATGATCTGTCTTGAGTCTGAGTTATATTTAACGCGTTCAGCAAATGCAGTAATAACGTTGGAAGAAGTTGGTTACTTTGAGCATGCTTGCTACATCCATCTTGCACCTGTCGAGGCCATCTTAATCCAGTGCTGATATACTGGCGACCAGACATTGCAATATTTGCATCTAATAGTTCCAACCTTGGAAAGAAACATCTCCAAAATAATCGAATACACGAAAGACATCATTCCCAAAAAGCCCTAACTACATTACACTCAAAGAGGATACCTTCTAACCTCATCCTCCTTCTCAACATCTAAACCCCCCTCAACCTGTACTCGATGCTTTTCATCCAGAAACTCCAACAAAACATCCTGATACTTCTCCTTCCCCTTATACCGACTAACATCATCCCCCCAACTCCTAACCGCATTCGCCAACCGCCCAGGAACATAAGGCTCCTCAACAATACCAGTAACAGGCTCAAAATAAGTCCGAATCGTAAAAACCACCGCCCCAGATCTGGGCAATCTCCTCAACGACTGCCTCTCCGAGCGAAAGAAATGATTCTCAATAGCCCGGTTCTTCTCCGCCGTATTCCACGACACTGTCTCCGCATCCTCAGACCCAATACTCTCCGACCACGCCAAGTTATCATCCACCTGGATGAAATAGTTATTCCGAAGAACCGGTTCTTCGGGCCGTAATCGTCGGAAGAAATTCATCATCCCTTTCTCCAGCTTACTCTTGAACTGTGGTACATCGCCTGATGTGTGAATCTCAGACAGTCGCATCCCGAATTTGTCGGTCAGTCGCCAGAACCCGGCTAGCAGGATCGCGCCTGCTAGTAGGTAGTATTCGCCGTCTGGGCGCTCGATCATTAGTGCTAGGTCGTCTTGAACCAGTCGGGCTGCTGTTGCCATTGGGTCTTCGGGGAGTGGGCGTTGGACTATGTTGAAGGTTTCGTTGGTTACTTTGTTGGTTATTCCCGTTGTGGTCTTGGTGAACATGCTTGGGTATCTTTCGGGGAGGTAGGCGCATCTGGTGGGAAAGGTGTTATGAGGGGGTGTTCTTGGATATGGAGTTTTTATGTTTTGATTGCTCTTACAGTTCTTCGAGTAGTTCGATTGCAGCGTCCATCGCCTCGGGTGCTGTGTGGCAGCATTTGCTACCGCGCTCTTCGATGCGGCGTGCTTTGTCGGCGTGATATTTTAGATATTGGTTGTCGAGCTCTGTGTTTGGAGTGTAAGAGGTCAATGGGACTGCTGGGATTTGACTATCGAGGATCGACTCACCGATCCATTCGTCCCATTTCATGCTTCTTAGACCTAGCGTGATGTAGTATTTTCTGTTTGAAAGGGTTAGAAGACGGCCAGCAATATCCCTAATGGATTTGTTCAACTTACGGGCCGTATCTAAATGGCCGGTAGGGAATTGGTTTTGTCGAATGGACATCCCATCCTGAGTATGGGGCTGCTGTTGGCCGTTTGAAGTCTGATGGAGTCCATTCTATGCAGCAAGAGTGAGCGAGTCTTTCTCATTCATGTATGGACTGACATCCCGCATTTACTTACCACCCGGTGGCCTGGTGACCTTTCCTCTCACACCTGCAGCGGGTGTCTCTAGATCACTACTCGAGGCTTTGGCTGTGGTCGAAGCCCACTTCCGCGAGACCAAGATAACGAGCCATACACAGACACTAAGGATGAGAGAGACATCCACGACCTTTTTCGTTGGGGTCGATAAGATAGTTCCCCATAGGGATTCAAGCACCGACATAGCCATAGTGGGATACTTCTAGGTAGTACGTAGTTTGAGGATACATCGAGAATAGAAAGTTGTTTTAGTATATAGTGAAGATAAAGAGGATCGCCCTTATCAATTCTGGAGTGCGGAGTAAGATATTAACTGCCTAGATGGCGATCTAATGCGAGATGCCCGTGTTAATCCGATACGAGATAGGCCGTCGTTGGTCAACACGTGAACTGTGGCTGGGAATAGAGACTATCTTGTCTGGGGAAGAGGGGGGACGGCATCTTTTTTGAGCTGTCAAATCCGGGACTGCATGCGTTTCTCCATTGTTTGTTCGTTGTTGGCCTCCAGTGAAGCGGAGGGAGGGTTTATCTGCGGAGAAAGGCTAAAAGTTGATAGGGATATTTTGTCCCAATTGGGAAAGATGACGCTACGCTTGTACTTGATAACCTCCTGTGTTACTTATTTGCTTGCATTCGATGCGAATGTTTCCGCGTTGATGGTTTACATAATTCTTCTAGAGGGTTTATCTAGGAGGATTTCTAGGTATATCCTGGATCTATACATGGCCTGCGACTGTTCGTTGGAGAAGACAGTATTCGCCCCATTTGCGTCGGAAGCGGGCTGGGATGACTGGAAGATCAGGAATCCAGATCAATCGACCTAGCAGACCTGTTTGAGACGCATCAAGGAAGCTTGCGCAGGAAAGCGTCTCCCACTGCGCCTTGTCCAGGAAATAATGGGGCTCTAGCTCGGTTGCGTCGTGACCAGGGAAGTAAGAGTCAACCAGGAAAGAACATTGAGAGATATCAACCTGTTGTAAAGTTAGTATAGGACCAGGAGTAATAATCATAGCACCACGTTGAGACACTTACGTATTTGCTAGGGTCCTCGATATTAAGGTCATTCATGCCAGATGGAATCTGCGAGGCACCATCCAGACGTCCAAGATAACTCGGCGAATCTGGGAACTCGCCTGGAAGTAGTCCTTGGAATTCACTTCGGATAAACTTCGCGCGCATGTCGTTCGGAAGGAAATACGAAGACGGGAAGCGATACCACTCCTTGCCGAAGCACACGGAGTCTCCTGCATGCGCGATATCCACACGCTGTAGGGGTTCAAACACCTTTAATGGAGCGTTATAAGCCGTAACCATCCCTAGAGTTCGCAGCATGCCGGCGTTTAGACCGGCTAAAACAACTGACAGGGCTGCAGCAACCTTTAGTTTGGTTGGCACGCGGCCGATCAGTTCCTTTTGGTTAGTAGAGCCAAGGTAGGTCAAAATAATATGGAAGCTCAAAGCTGCGCTAAGTGCCAGGAACGGGTATGCTGGGTACATAAACCGCTCTTCCTTGTGTGGCTGGACCGAGAAAATCCCAAACCACATGTAGAAGGGAGCGACCAGGGCCATGGACCGCAATGAAGTTTGTAAGGAGGTGGTGTGCGATCGAAAGAAGATCTGGAAAAGTAGAAGGGGCGCGGATAGCATGGCAAAGACAAACCAGACATTGAAGTTGAGCAAGAGATTTCGAACATAGAAAGTCCACGGCTCAGTACCAAAAATATCTGGTCCCTTACCTTCTCCCCCAAAGACATTGTATGCAACAATGTTCCAAGGGACAAGAATGAGCTTTCGGAAGAAAGCATAGTCAACCGCAACTTCAAGAGCCTGTGATGCATCTTAGTAACGATATCAAACCCAAGTATAATGTCACCTACCAGAATCGACAAACAACGAATAATGCCGTCAAAGACATTGTACAAAATTGAGCTGACAGATCCAGAAATGAAGCTAATAATAGCCTTCTCAGCCAAAAGAGGGACAATGAGAGCACCGGCAAATGGCCACCCAACAATTGTCCCCAGCCCAAACCACATGATGCCCTGCGCTGTTTTCCGGCCATTTTTCCAATCCAGGAACGAAGCCAGACCAAGCATAGACATATACATGGTGAATGTAGAGGGCAAAAAGGCAGTCGAAGCGTGAAACATGCCAGGGCTAAATGTGACGATCATCACAAACAAGAGACCGATGCGGGGGCTGAGTGTACGACATATCGCAGAGTACAGTCGAGTCTGGCAGGCGGCGCACATAAATGCAAGAGACAGGCGAATTGTGTAGAATTCAGCTGTCTTGCTGTGCACAACCAAAGACCCGATCTTGCCTACGGCAGCATGGAGCGACACGTAGAGCCAGCTGCGGATAGAATAAACCGGTGAATATTCCCAGGTTTGAAGACCATATCCATGCTGCAGATAATGTGTAGGTTCCCAGAAATTGAACACCTCATCACAATCTTGAATTGGAGAGAATATTGCGGCCAGAGTGTTGGTAACTAGGCATAGGTAGAGGGTGATGTGGAGGGGAATGTAGAAGGGAGCTGGTGGGGGTCTAGATAGGTTAGCGTTATGCTTAATCTCGCACAGATTAGTAGACACACTGCTTCTTTGTATTAGGCTTATGGGTATCCCCCGAGGAATTGTCGTTCCCTGCCATCTTGCAAGTTGGAGTTATGTTAAGAGGCATCAAATGGATCCATGAACAGAGCTGCGATAACCGATAAGACCTTGTTGACCGCCTATGCGGAGTCTGGCAAAATAAAAAAAGTTTCCTGTCGACTTTTGATCTTCAGAGTTGAACTGCTTTTTATTCAATTAATATTTGAGTTGAAGATTCAATATGGATGGACATCACAACCCTTCAAATGGAACAGGTGCCGATGAAGGCCCTGCCCCGAAAAAACCCTGTCTTATTGAGACGCCTATCGCAGGGACCCCAGACAACGGCAGCGATTTCTACAACACTCCCTTGGCTGCAGGTACACCAGACATAGGTATAGCCAGTCTAGATTCTGGAAGCAGTGCATCTGAACCCTCTACTTCCTCGAAGCCAACCTATATGATCCCCGGATTAAACCTTATCCACCACCCCTCCGAACAAAAAAATGGCTCGCCTCCGACCGAAGACACAATCAAGCAAGAGGAAGGTCAACTAGTGAACCAGCAAGATGTTGAGACAGAGCTCAAGCAAGAGGAAATTCAGCACATTTGCCAACCCGAGTCCACCGACTCAGTCATGAAGGACGAGACAGAGGCGAACCAAATAAAAAATGAACCCACTGCTCCCCTCAGCGAAGCTATAAATGCCGATCAAGATACCTGCCAAGACAATATGATCGAAGCCACTGGTCAGGCTGACGATGCCAAAGAAGATGAGCACCCTGAGTGGGAGGTTGACTCTTCCCCATACGAGTCATCTTCAGACAGCTCTGATTCCTCGGACTCCGATGATAGTGACGATGAAGACTATCCCATCCTCAGCGCCGAGGAGCAAGCACAGATTCTCATGCGGGCGGAAGGTGGTTCCGATGACGAAGGAGACGGCAAGGGGAAAACAGGCGGACAACTGCGGACCACCAATGAAATCGAATACGAGGCCCTGCCTATCCCTGACGTTACGATCACCCCCGAGATGAAGATTGTGTTCCTCGGGAAAGTTCATGCCGCCATCGATAACAATGTCCTTATCGAGGCTAACACCTCCGGAGAATACCAGGTACTTGAGTCGGGCTCCTTGCTTTGCTCTGATGATCGCCAGGTCATTGGTGTAGTAGCAGAGACCCTGGGCAGAGTGGAAAATCCTCTGTATACAGTCACATATGCCACAGCCTCCGAAGTACAGGAAAAGGGCTTAGTCAAGGGCAAGGATATCTTCTATGTTGAGGGACACTCCACCTTTGTGTTCACCCAGCCGCTCAAGGGCATGAAGGGAAGTGACGCTTCCAACTTCCACGATGAGGAAGTTGCTGCCGATGAGATAGAATTCTCCGACGACGAAGCAGAGGCTGAATACAAGCGGAAGCTGAAGCAGAAGCGACAAGAGCGAAAGGAAGCCAGAGAAGGCCCCAAGGGTAAGAAGCCAGCCCCAGGACCTTCAAAATTGAACCAGACCGAGCTCAACTACGACGATGCCGGAGGTGAGGAGGGCTACACCCCTCTTGCACGCCCTACCAACCTTCACGAAATGATGAATACCCGCGAGCCACCAGTTGAAGGCAACGAGCGTGGCGGGTTCCGTGGCGGACGAGGTCGGGGTCGGGGTGACCGTGGACGCGGAGGACGGGGCAGAGGTGGACGTGGAGGAAGGGAGTGGGACCAGGACCGTCGGCCCCAGCAGGCCAGTGGCCCAACCCACGAGTCCCAGCCTCAGCCTCAAGCACAGCCCACCGCTCCCTACAGCCAGCCAATGTACCAGCAACCTCAACAGCCATACGGGATGCCCCAGCCCTTCGCTGCGTATGCTCAATACGCACAGCAGCAAGCCCAGAACCCGCAACATGCGCAACAGCAACAGCCGCAATTTGGCCAAGGTGGAGCGCAGCCACAGATGCCTTTCCAGTTCTCTCCATACCCGGCCTTCCAACAACCGCAATCCAATGGTTTCCAGAACGTCCAACAGGGTGCTTCTCAATTCAACCCTCAATCTCTGGCTATGTTGCAACAACAGCAACAATTCATGCAGCTTCTGCAACACCAGCAGCATTACCAACAATCTCAGCAGCATTACCAACAACCCCAGCACCAACAGCCTCAGCCTCAAAATCCGGCTATGAACTTTGACCAAGTTAAAGCTCAGCTGGATCTGCTGCGAAACCTGAGCGGCGGGAATCAGGGTCCTCCTTCTTCCTGATAAATTTGTTTTCCATACATGTTCTTCTGTGATATCCTAGCATCGGAATATTTGCTTTGCATACGGAGCGGGGTTTATGTGGGTAGGGAATTTTGTTTGATTAAAAGTTTTTCATAGCTCCAATCGAGTGTCTATTTCGAACAATTTACAGTGCCTACGGAGTGGTAAACAGTGAGGATCTGAGGCATCATGCGTATGAATGATAATGGCTATGAAGCAAGTTCGCTATCTGTAGAAGTACAATAGACCTAGACCTTGATTATCAGCCGTAGGAAACGTTAATATTCAGCTGGTTTGGCACTCTTCGCCAGTGTCCAGAAGTTCTCCATCTTGGCTCGGGACAGGGCTAATTTGGCAGCAGAGTCTGTTTCACAGATACGAGCACCAAACCATTTCCTGAAGGCCCGGCCTTTGGTTTGACCTTCCCAGAGAAGATTACATGTGTTCGCGGTAAAATCGCGGGGCTCTCCCTTATCATCCTCAGTGGATAACCAGGAGACTTTGGCTTCAGGGCTGTCTGCAGGTACTCGATCAGACCCAGGGTTTTCGGTCCAATCGATGCGGTTCAACATCAGCTTTCGGTAATTGTTGATGGAGTGTTGGCCGCCCTCAACAATCACCAGGTTGAAACGGGGATGCATGACACACATGCCCGTCAGATTATTTTGCTCTGCATTTTTGCCGATCTTGAAGCGGTTCCGGCCACTCGCCAGACTGTCAATTCGATACACAGATTGGAAGATGCCCAAAGAGGCATCCTTCTCCTTCTGAGCTTCCAACTTTTCGCGCCGTTGCTCCTTGGTCAGTTTGCGGTCTTCGTTTGCAATCTCGTGCGCCTCCTTCCGATCTGCGATCTCCCTGGTCACACGAGCTTCCACAGCCGTGGGATCCTTTACAGCTTGTTCTCCTAGAACCCGCATGAGATTGGATTTCTTGACCTTTGGAGCCGGTGCTTCCTCGAGTCCCAGCCTGATCTTGGCTTGTTGTTCCTTCAGATCTGCCATGCGTCGCTGTCGACGAATCTTGGCTTGTTCCTTCGGAGTAAGGAACATGGGTTTTTGTGCAGGCATGTGCTTTTCTTGCGGAGGTTCGAGCTCGATGGGATGCTGGATATAGCTGTTGAGGGTATCAAGTTTGATGTTTTCCTGGTCATCAATTGCGTCATAGTCGCTGCCATCAACTAATTTTGCATCCCACCACTCTACAGCGGGCGGCTCAGGAACAAGGAATGCCTTCTCCGCGTCCACATCATCGTCAAGTCCGGCCTGTCGTGATTTCTCTGCGATTCTTTTCTTCATGGCTTCCAGCTGTGCCTGTCTGCGTAGAGCCGCTGCCTGTTGGATATATTTGCCCTTTTGGTTGAAGTGTAGCTCTCGGGTTTGTCGGGGTTTCGCAATCGTTGCTTTGGGGTTAATAGCCGGGTCGAAGTAGGGGTTATTCTTGATTTCCTCGACTGACGGACCAGACAGATCAAGCTGGGGGCCACCAGCACGTTTTGGCTTAGTGGGTCGTCCATTTGCACCACGATATTCCGGTGCAGCGTCAGAGAGAAGCGCGGGATGAAGGCCAACATCCAGACCACCGCGAGCCTTGGAAATTCCCTCGTCGTCATGCGCTGGTGGTTGGTAGGATGGTGTGGGTGCACTGGGTCGTGGCTGAGAGGGTGCGCTGGCTCGTTGAGTAGCTGCAGCCACCCGAGCTTTCATTTGTTCGAGTTTCGACATTGCAGGAGCCGGTGCTGGTGGAGGAGGACTTGCAGAAGCCGGCGCGGGTGGTGCTGGAGGTGCTGGCGGTGTTGGTGTCGCTGTCACGCCACCATGCGCTTGTAGACGAGCGCGCACAGCTTCCGCCTTTGCCCTGGCTTCTGCCATTATCTTCGCAATATCTGGCTTGCCCGGGGCAGAACCTCCTTGACCTGGTACTGGGGACCCATGATTGGAGCGGGTCCTTTTCTGGGAGTTGTCCTGTTGATCCTCAGGGTGAGGACGCTTCAGCGCGTTGCCCGATGCGTCGGCCATGATGTAGATGGCTTCTGCCTCACTCGGTATTCCAACGATAGGAAAATACAAAAAGGTTGAAGGGGTGCAGGATAGACAAGCAGTAGGCGTTGTACATGACCAGACTAATCCACGCAGAAACCCAAAAAGGGTAAGGCGGTGGATATGGGCAGAAAAGAAGTTGCTCCTCCGGAAAAAAAAAAGTTCGCTCCAGAACTAAAAGCACTTGGAGATCTGAATCCGAGCACTTTGATTTCGTGCGCCAGCGTTTTCTGTTGCTCAAGGAGCTGCAGGCTACAATGGCAACTTTTGCGCGCCCGGTCGCCTCGACCATTAATGGGGTCGACTTCAATGTCTACTCCGAGGAAGAGATTAAAGCTCTCTCGGTGAAAAGAATTCACAATACTCCGACTTTGGATTCATTTAACAATCCTGTTCCCGGAGGTCTTCAAGACCCTGCTATGGGAGCTTGGGGGGATCATGTGTAAGTCTTGACTTGATTAGTATACTGTCCAATCTCTAACGTGAGAGATTTTCTTATTTTACAGATGCACAACCTGTCGCCAGAACTCTTTCACCTGCACTGGACATCCTGGACACATTGAGCTGCCAGTACCCTTCTATAATGTCACCTTCTTCGATCACATTTTCCGCCTTCTCCGAGCACAATGTGTGTACTGTCTTCGCCTGCAGATGGGTCGCAACCAGGTCAACATGTACACCTGCAAACTGCGCCTTCTGCAATATGGCTTGGTTGACGAAGTCGCTGTTGTCGATGCGATGGGAGCCGTAAAAGGTGCCAAATCAAAGGCCACCAAGGGCAAGGAGGACGATTCGGACGACTCAGATGATCCCGACGATGATGACTATATGCAAAAGAGAACTGATTATGTCACTCGACGCATCCGCGAAGCCAAGAAAGAGGGCAAATTGGAGGGATTGATGCCTGGCGGACAAAATCCTATTGCCGCAGAAGCCAGACGAGAGTTGCTCAAGGCCTTCTTCAAGGATATCAACGGATTCAAGAAATGTGTCGGCTGTAGCGGGTACGTTATATACAATATTCCCCGACCTTTACTTTGGATTTACCAGCTAACATTATGGCAGAGTGTCCCCCGCCTATAAAAAGGACCGCTACAACAAAATCTTCCGAAAGCAATTACCCGAGAAGCAGAGGCTTGCAATGCTGCAAGGAGGATTCCAGGCACCGAATACCATGGTCCTTCTCGAGCAAGAAAGGAACTCCAAGTCTAAGAATGGTGTTTCTGAGATCCACGGAGCTGAGGAGGAAATCCGCCGTGGTGTGGCTGTCGTGCAGGAGGGACAGGGATCGACCGGCCAGGAATTCATGTCTTCTTCCGAAGTCTATGGAGCACTTCACCTTCTTTTCCAAAAGGAAGGTGAGATCCTGCAGCTTGTCTACAATTCCCGTCCTGTGCCTAAGGGAATGAGAGTTGTGTCGGCAGACATGTTCTTCATCAAGAGCCTTATGGTGCCGCCAAACAAGTACCGCCCCGCAGTCCAGCAGGGTGCCGGAACAGTCATGGAGGCACAGCAGAACACTTCGTTCAATGCGATTTTGAAGGGCTGTGACACCATCAACCAAATCAGCAAGGAGATCCAAAACGAGGAAGAGAAGACCATGTCTCGCGCACGGAACTACAGTGATCTTCTTCAAGCTATCGTCCAGCTCCAAGATGTTGTCAACGGTTTAATCGACCGTGATCGTACCTCGGTCACCGGCTCAGCTGCCTTGTCACAGCCTAACGGTATCAAACAGATTCTCGAGAAGAAGGAAGGTCTGTTCCGAAAGAACATGATGGGCAAGCGTGTCAATTTTGCTGCTCGTAGTGTTATTTCACCCGATCCCAACATCGAACCCAATGAGATTGGTGTGCCCCTTGTGTTCGCCAAGAAGTTAACTTTCCCCGAACCTGTGACAAACCACAACTTCTGGGAGTTGAAGGAGGCTGTTATCAACGGTCCTGATAAATACCCAGGCGCTTCTTCCATTGAGAACGAAAACGGGCAAGTCATCAACCTCAAGTTCAAGAACTTGGAAGAACGCACAGCACTTGCCAACCAACTGCTCGCACCATCAAATTGGCGCCAAAAGGGTTCGCGTAACAAGAAGGTTTACCGTCATCTCACGACTGGTGATTACGTCTTGATGAACCGTCAGCCAACTCTGCACAAACCCTCCATCATGGGTCACAAGGCTCGTGTCCTTCCCAACGAGCGGGTTATTCGCATGCACTACGCCAATTGTAACACTTACAACGCTGATTTCGATGGTGACGAGATGAACATGCATTTCCCTCAAAATGAGCTTGCTCAAGCAGAAGCCAGAATGTTGGCAGATGCCGACCACCAGTACCTCGTTGCTACATCAGGCAAACCGCTGAGAGGTCTGATTCAAGATCACATTTCCATGGGAACGTGGGTTACATGCCGTGACAGTTTCTATGATGAGGAGGATTATCACCAGCTGTTGTACAGTTGCTTGAGACCAGAACATTCGCACATTGTCACTGACCGGATCCAACTAGTTGAGCCTGCCATGCGCAAGCCTAAGTGTCTATGGACCGGAAAGCAAATCATTACGACAATCCTCAAGAATATCCAGCCCCCTGAGCGAGGAGGTTTGACCTTGAAGAGCAAGTCTTCAACCCCCGGTGAGCGCTGGGGTGAAAACAACGAAGAAGGAGAAGTTATCTTCCAGGATGGAGAGTACCTGTGTGGTATCCTTGATAAGAAACAGCTCGGTCCCACCGCCGGCGGTCTCATCGATGCCATCCATGAAGTTTATGGATACAGCACTGCTGGCAAGCTCATCGGTGTTCTTGGAAGACTCCTCACTCGCGTTCTGAACCTGCGGGGTTTCAGTTGTGGTATCGACGATCTTCGGTTAACCAAGGAGGGTGACCGTATCCGCAAGGAGAAGTTGGCCACTGCTCCTCAGATGGGTCGCGAAGTTGCTCTGAAGTATGTGACATTGGACCAGGCTCCTGGTGACCAGACTGCCGAGTTGAACCGACGACTGGAGGAGGTTCTTCGTGATGACGACAAGCAAAGTGGCCTGGATAGTGTTTCTAACGCCCGGTCTGCCAAGCTCTCCTCTGAAATCACCAGCGCCTGTCTCCCGTACGGTCTTGCTAAGTCTTTCCCCTGGAACCAAATGCAGTCTATGACGATATCTGGAGCCAAGGGATCCGGTGTTAACGCCAACCTGATTTCTTGTAATCTCGGCCAACAGGTTCTTGAAGGTCGCCGTGTACCACTCATGATCAGTGGAAAGACTCTTCCGTCATTCAAGGCCTTCGAAACTCACCCTATGGCTGGTGGTTACGTATCCGGTCGTTTCTTGACCGGAATCAAGCCCCAGGAATACTACTTCCACGCCATGGCTGGTCGTGAGGGTCTGATTGATACTGCTGTCAAGACCTCTAGATCCGGTTACCTGCAACGTTGTTTGATCAAGGGTATGGAAGGCCTCAAGGCTGAATACGACTCCTCTGTTCGTGAAGCGTCAGATGGCTCCATTGTTCAGTTCTTGTACGGAGAGGATGGTCTCGACATCACCAAACAGGTGCACTTGAACGACTTTGATTTCCTCGCTCAGAACCACATCTCTATTTCCAAGCAGGTCCAAGCAGATGACTACCACAAACTGGCGAAGGACAACGTTACGACTTGGCACAAGGATGCCATGAAGGCAGTTCGCAAGTCCGGAAAGATTGATGCTATGGACCCTGTGTTGTCTCACTTCTCCCCCGGAGGAAACCTTGGAAGTACATCCGAAGCGTTCGCTCAGGAGCTAAAGAAGGTATGGACTCGCTATCTCTTCCCTACGATTATTTGCAATTCTAACAGTTTTTTTGAAAATAGTACTCGGATATCAACAAGAACAAGCTCATTAAGGACAAGAAGAAGAACATCGAGGGCAAGGTTACCAAGAAGACCTTCGAGGCCTTGATGAACATGAAGTACATGAAGTCCATCATTGACCCCGGTGAGGCAGTCGGAATTATGGCCGGTCAATCCGTCGGAGAACCGTCCACACAGATGACTCTCAACACCTTCCATTTGGCTGGTCACTCAGCAAAGAACGTCACACTGGGTATTCCCCGTCTACGTGAAATTGTTATGACTGCAAGTGCCAAGATTATGACGCCTACGATGACTCTTCTTCTCAACGAGGAGATTTCCAAGGACGACTCGGAGAAATTCGCCAAGGCTATCAGCAAACTGAGCATTGCCGAACTTGTTGACAAGGTGCAAGTCAAGGAACGCATTGGCTCGGGCATTGGCCACGCCAAGGCTAAAATTTATGACATCGAGATCGACTTCTTCCCGTCTGAAGAATACACCAAGGAATACGCCATTGAGACCAAGGATGTTCTGGTTGCTCTGCAATCCAAGCTCATCCCTCGTTTGGTGAGACTCACCAAGGCCGAGCTCAAGAAGCGCAATGAAGAGAAGAAGGGCGTCAAGGGCACAACTTCTCAGCCTGAAATCGGTGTTTCGGTCGGTAAGATCGCGGAGGCACCAAGAGGTGCCGACTCCGAGACCCAGCCAGCCGACGACGACAACGAAGATGATGAGGACGATGCCAAGCGGGCCGCCGGAGCTCAGAACAGGGGCAACCAGGTCTCCTACGAAGGACCCGACGCCGGCGAGCAGGATATCATCAGACGCCAAGACACCCCTGACGAAGACGAGGATGAAGATGAAAGCAGCAAACCTGCCAAGGGCACTCGCGACGTGCAAATGAAGGACGGCTCCGAGTCCGACTCTGAGGATGAGTCTGACGACGAGACCACCCAAGACAGCAAGGCGCGCGAGGAGGATGTCATGGGCAAGTTCGAGGAGATCACCAAGTTCAAGTTCGACCCTAAGAACGGCAACACGTGCACCATCCAACTTCAATACGACGTCGAGACCCCCAAGCTTCTCCTCCTTCCCCTGGTTGAGAAGGTTCTCCACCTCGCCGTCATCCAGTGCATCCCCGGCATGGGCAACTGTGTCTTCGTTGAGGCCGATGAGGCGAAGGGTGACCCCGCCAACATTCTCACCGAGGGTGTCAACCTGCTCGCCATGCGCGACTACCAGGATATCATCAAGCCCCACTCGATCTACACCAACTCCATCCACGACATGCTTAACCTGTACGGTGTGGAAGCTGCTCGCGCCACCATCGTCCGCGAAATGGATGCCGTTTTCAGTGGTCACAGTATCTCCGTTGACAACCGTCACTTGAACTTGATCGGTGATGTGATGACACAGTCCGGTGGCTTCAAGGCCTTCAGTCGTAATGGCTTGGTTAAGGATGCCTCGTCTGCTTTCGCGCGAGCCAGTTTCGAGACTACTGTCGGCGCCTTGAAGGACGTTGTGCTCGAGAGAGGTGCTGATAACCTCAAGAGTCCTAGTAGCAGAATTGTCGTTGGTCGTGTCGGCACCGTCGGCACTGGTTCCTTCGATATTCTTGCTCCTGTAGCATAGTCTCTTGGCTGGACGGAGTTTTGAAATGTGTATTTCTTGTCTTTCCCTCATGTGTATATTGTGTTTATGCAAAGCTATTTATTTTTTGTGTGTGTGTTTTCGCTTCATCTTTGATGTGTCGATGATCTGGAGTTTGTCTTTGTGCAGCGGAACCAAAAAAGTCCTGTTCATATTAGCATCTTGACTAGTTCGATAAATAGATCTTTCTCTAAGTAATGATGTTATAGCATAGCCTATCCTATGTCCTTCTATTGTAATACTTCATGGATGTTCCGAAGCACGGAGTGAGTTAGTCACCCCCTAAGCTGCTCCCTGAGCAACTCACTATAAATGTATCGAGCTACATTCCTACAATCGACTTTCCCATGGGGACAAATAGATTTATCACGTCAGTCCATCCGGTGTGATTGCAGAATCATTGATCGAGATTATATTATTGCATAAAGTTCTGCCACTTTACCTCAAATGGAGTTTAAGGAACTTGTGCCTATAGCCCACAGTAGTTCAGACTCCCCTTGTTTCGACTAAGACATGGGAATGTTTCAAATAATATCAAGCAGGGTGCCACAACGTTGAAGAGTGGAGGTTTACAAAGTACATGCTTCTTCACTTCCGGGCCAAGGGTCCACGCCGCTGTCAATTTCTTTTGAGTTTGCACATTTTGTCAGACTTTCAATACATCTAGAGAAACAGTCTATAAAAAAGATTGGTGTTCTAGTGGTTATAAAGAAGAAAAGATAGATAGAAAAGAAAGCATGAGATATTGCACCTGTGGTAATGTAAGTGCAGCAGAAACCCTGAAGGATCACCTGGTTTATCTCAACACCGCCAAATGTCTCAAGTCCATATGCTTAGGTTCAGTAGTCGGACCCCTAGTCCCTTTCTTAGTGGAGTTGTTTTGCTTGTTTCAACGGGGTGGATCACCGGGCCGCGAATGGCACATTTCTTAGCTGCCTTGGCTTTCTTCTTCTCCATAGATAAGCAATAGCTGTAGATCTTGCCTAAAGATAGGAAAAAAGATCAAGGTTCTAACCGTTAATAAACAATATATCATGATAGTACTAGCAACGTTCTACGAAAAAGACTATAGCAACCTGTTATGTCAGGTTTCTTCATATATCTACAACATAGCTGCCTTAACCTACTCTCGGCTTCACATCCGATTCAGACCATCTACGAATATAAACGAATGCGAGTTAAACACTCTGGTGTCGTAACACTAACTGAGACCCAAAATTGGGTACCTTGACAAATCAAGTTTCCGGGCCAAACGTCCAGCGAACTGATCTGCACGAACTAACCTTATTAAACTAGGCAAACGTTATTATCTAGCTTATACTTACTGGTGATTTAATTTGGGCTGCATCCTTTCCCGGGGAGATTTCGGAGAAATGACAACTGGTGTTCAGTTATTCACATGGCGGTATAGATAGAGCCTGTAAATATTAAATAAAGCACGATGGCTCCGGGATATACTCCAAAATATCAAACTCTCACATCCAAACTTCTCACATATCTTCAACCAATCCTCAATCTCCACAATGAAGGTCTTCAGTCTCTTGATGCTGCTTGCCACTGCCGGAACTACCTTGGCAGCTACCTGCCCAGGCTCGGGACAGTGTGAATGTCTGTTCCCCGACAAGTCGCACTGCTGTCTCTACGGATCCGTATGTCTTTCGATGATTTTGATCTGTCTGGGAGCTAACATAAGACATAGAACGCAGAGACTGGCGATGGCTATGATTGCACCACACTGTGTGCAGGTGCTAGTCGAATCCTCCAGGGGGGCGAAGATACCCCAGTAAAGTGCAATGCAGGCGGTGATTTTGCCTGTGCCTCTCTCATCACTACGCAGGGTCGCACTCCATGCTACAACAACGCCTAAGTATTTTGTCCCAAGATGTACCCGCAAAAGCTATTTCTAACGTTCGTTGAGTGAATAGGTAGTTTCGGATTTCAATGGCATGGCTGTCATTTGAGGACCCAAGTTTGGAGCCACGAACTCACATTTGTACGACAGGCAGAAGACAGGATGAGGTGGATGGGAACCCGGGCTGTTTCAATGCGGGCCATAGGCACTACTGGAACGAGAGGCATCGACTATTTAACCCCAATAGGAATCTTGTATCCTACATCATCCCTACATGATGCCAGGTAGAGCACCGAATAGTTCTATACCGGAGTATTAGTTCGTGAGTATTGTCAACTTATAAGCAAAGTCACCGAAGTAACAATGTATGATTGAAGACGAATAACTAAACTAAGCGCACGAATGAGTGTTCTCATATATCCTTCGTACCTACTCCTTAATCTACCGCCTAGGGTGTGTGCTCGTGGATATATGTTGTCCTCCAAGTACAACATAGATCCAGGAGTCCTGCCTATGTAAGCGGTTTACCCCGCAAAAAGTCCCCTATCAAAAACGGCTTTGATACTTCCTTCATTGTAAGGATGAAGGTCAGTTTTGCCTCTAGAATACTTTAAATCTCAGTTCAAAGGAACACATTTTATTCCTTTGCAATGCGTCTACGCAAAAATGCCATTGATACTCGTTTCCTTGACACGCCAGCATAAATCCGAGGTCTGCCGAGGTCCCTCGGTGATGTCGCCGGACTACGCATATCCCTGTGACTTAAAACGAGACTTGCATCTCAGTTGCAACGTCATCCAACTTTCTAACATACCCTGCACAAACCACAGGAACGTTCATAATCCTCCAAAATGCAAGCCGTCGTTTTCAAGGGCCCGTCGAAGGTAGCCATCGAGCAAAGGCCCATCCCTCAGATCCAAGATTCATCAGATGCCATCCTGAAGGTGCGATACACTGCGTTATGTGGCAGGTAAGTAATCAAGAACTATACCTAACCCCGCACAATCCCTCATATTTCCAAAGTGAACTCCATGTCTTTCGTGGCCACCAAAAGTCCGGCACAGAGTTTATCATGGGCCATGAGTTTACCGGTGAAGTTGTCGAGCTTGGCTCCGATATCAAGAACTTCCAAAAGGGAGACCGAGTGGTCTCGCCCTTCACTTCCAGCTGTGGGGAATGTTTCTACTGTGAGCGTGGTTTCTCTTCTCGATGCGCTCGAAGCCAGCTATTCGGTACTGTTGGACTTGATGGTGGACAGGCTGAGTATGTGCGTATCCCACTAGCCGATTCGACTCTTGCCAAAGTCCCAGCATCAATCGACGAGAAGAAGCTAGTTCTTATGGCTGATATATTCCCCACCGGTTACTTTGCCTCTCTGAACGCCTTCTCTGGCACGACCCCGGAGGAGATTCAAAAAAGCACGGTACTCCTCTTTGGCTGTGGTCCTGTGGGTATCTGCGCACTTATCAGTGCCCTCGATTACAAGCCAAAGACTTTGATCGCAATCGATAGTGTGCCTTCCAGACTAGCGCTTGCACAGAGTCTAGGAGCCGAGGCTTGGAATTTCAAAGAGGATGAAGAAGGACTGCGTCAAAGGGTAAAGGATCTTACTGACGGCCGTGGAGCGGATATTGTTATCGAAGTCGTTGGACATAGTAGCGCTCTCAGGATGGGATTCGATTTGTTACGGCCCTGGGGCCGAATATCGAGCGTCGGCGTTCACAATCAGGATATCCCGTGGACTGGGAATGAAGCCTACGGAAAGAACCTTCGTCTACAGATGGGTCGATGCCCCGTTCGGAGTATGTCTGATTCCACGGCTTACTTTGATTGTTTTGCTCAATTGTGCTAGGTATCTTTGGTCCGGCGATGGATCTCTTCGAAAAGAAGCAAGACGTCCTCAAGTGAGTTTGGGTAACCCCGTATTCTATGTTTTGCGAGTCTAACCGATTCCTAGCTTCATGTCTCAAGACATCCGTCCCCTCTCACAGGCTGTTCAAGCGTGAGTTCTTCTCATTCAGATCTTGATCCCCTATGATTGACCCTTAGGCAGATATGACGATTTCGATAATATGCGGGCCCACAAGGTGATTTTTGAGGCGGAGAAGTGAACGGAACTACTAGCAAGTGGGAGATCATAGATGGGTGTCTAAGGAATATGACTGACTCCGAGGAATAAAAAGAGATATCCCAAGGAAGTAACTAAAGAGTGGAGCCCCTTTCCACACGATAATATCTAGCATGCTGTAGTGGGAAGCGCATCTCTAGTTAGTAGATATAGCGGTTTGACTGGAAAATTTGCGCACAGACTATGATAACGAAACCGGCCAGATGCTTATATATTGATGGTTGTTGTCTTCGGGGCTTTTAATAAACATAGAGCAACACGGATTAGTATTTGATTACAGTGAATTGAGAATGCTCGCGGCCATTGTTCTTGAAGTCTAGAGCCGCTTTAGTGTAAGGTCTAAGTGACTCAAGATCAATTATTACCGAGGGAAAATATCCCTATAGAATAGGTGGATCTATTTTGCCTGGGATATCTCTCCATATAAATATATCAAAGTGGTCTCCAAGGGCCCATTGGTCCCTCGTAGTGCATTTATCTAGACCGGCACCATGACTGTTGAGGTTGAGCCATATGGTTTCTCATATAAAATGAAATGGCTTGCTTTTTTAAGAGAAAAATATCAACTGTAATAGCCTGAGGGACAAAGGTAACCATCTAAGCAGGTATCACTAGCAGCTAGCGATAACAATACAGTCCATACTACGAACAAAGATAATCTAGGGCAAATGATCCCATACAAGATGCTTTCGGCAGTCCTTGCGTGTACATACTTTCTAGCTTTCTTTTGAAAATCCCTTTGTTTATCGTACTGACACCTTCATAGATGCCAGGCAAACTCCACATGCAAGTTCGATGTTATGCGCAGGTGTTTGCTATTCACTTCAGAGTGACATTTGAGGATTGGAAATTCAGGACATAGATATCTTGGTATGGAATAGTAGATAAGATAAATTAGATGAACAAAAAAATAACAAAAGGAAAAAAGAAATTGCTGGGCAAGTTGCCCGACGGGGGGGTCGAACCCCCAACCTTGTGATTTCAAGTGATGAAACCCACTATTAAAAGTCACACGCTCTGCCAATTGAGCTAGCCGGGCTGATTTGTTGAAAACGAAATGTTTTGCTGAAACATGAAGCATTCAGAGTTTTAGAATTTTGGAATTTGTTTCTTTTCTATATATGGATTTTTTAATTCCCATGGCTACAGTTCTAGACATTATCAAAGTGAGGAGGCTAATAAGAAAAAAACATATTCATGACCCATGTACATGCTCAGGTTATCTCCCTTTTTCTTTTTCTTTTTCTTTTTCTTTTTCCATGCACATGGGGTGTTTATATATCTCCACTTTGGGCATATAATATCTCTTATATATATACGTGATATCAGGTTTGGATGTTGAGAATCCCAATTAATTCATCGTAACCTGCCAAGGATATTGAACTCCTACACATCCACGATCAGCGCCTTTAATGCAGTCTGGCAGCTGCACCGCCAGTTTTTGCATACAACTTGCATCATGTTGTATGGCGTGTAGGCATTCCAACCCAGGAACATCTGGGGTTATCATAGTCTCTCTCTGAAGCTATTATAAATGTACGATGAGGGGAAAGGGGTGCGAGAGAAGTCTATACATGTAAATATCGCCCTATTCCAGGTATGAAGAGATTAAACAGTTCTACAACCCCGATTTTACGCTTCTGTAAGAAGATGATCTTTACCCCAGTATACGTTGTATAGTCCTAATTACACCACTCAACATCAGAAGCCGGTTATTTTCTACCGAAGTACCAATTGCACCTTAAGCTTTCCAGTGAGAAACCTTCGAAAATCCTCTAGGAGTCAGACATGAGCTCATGTAAACATGTAAGCGCATCTATATCACTGACGTATTCTTTCTTTGGCTTCACTCCTTTTCTTCCAGTACATCCACGGCATACAATTTGATACAAGATGGAGGACCGTTTGTTTGGGGACAAGTCAAAGAGACTAATCCCGAAGAATCCGGAGATTTCTATGCTCTGCAGAGATACCGATGGAATACTTAGGCTGAATGTTATGCTTCGAAAGAGTTTCCCGATGATATGAAAGGGATACGACAAATGGACATCACACTTCGGGACCAGTTGCTTTGCTCTAGCCGAGTTTCTGTTTTCTAAATTCGCTTAGATCCTAAGATTGTTTAAGAGATTTGTGTTCAATTGCAACGTAAATGGGTTCCCTAGAAACGCCGTGGTAATAGCACCATGCCCAATCCCAAACGCCTAGCTCATGCCAATAGATGCCTCATTATGTAAAAAACAAACATCATTAACTATTTTATGGCGCATCGAGCATCATGAGGTCTGCATCAATGTTGTCGTCGTATTCGTCCTCGACGATCCGGGATGCGGATGGGATCATTCCCTCCACGGCGTGCCCGTTATTCACCTCCTCTCTCATCATCCGCTCTTCCTCGGTTCTCCTCTTTGCCTCATGGCGTTCGATGTCAGCCAAGCCCCAGGTGGAAATACCTTCTTGATCTTTCGATTTGAAAGGCTGGGCCATGGTCCGCAGGAAGTTCTTGGCATTTGATACAGCCATATCAGTGCTAAGATTGGTTTCGCTGTCCAACATTGCCTGGTTGATCCATTTGGGGAGTTGGGGGCGCTTTCGCTCGAATCGACGATCCGCCAACACCATGACCCCGTAGTCGTCCTTGCCACGCAGGACACGACCCAGACACTGGGCGGCATGTCGAATCGCATCGAAAGATAAAAAGTCGTTCTCTCGAATACGATAGTTCTCACGTAAGAACTCGAGACGAGCTTTCAGAATCCGAGATTCAGTGTATTGGAAGGGAACACCAATACACAGCACTGCACGGCCGTAATGATGATCGAAATCAATACCCTCAGAGACTTTGCCTCGAGCAACACAGAACAATATCGCGCCACGTCCGTTGCAA